GACTACAGGAAGCCCGAGGCAGAGTTGCTCTGCCCCAGGCTTCCTGGAATCAGCCACTGATCAGTTTCAGCAGCAGCTGACTTGGGGATGCCTGGGTTTCTTAAGTTGAATCTGTATGTAAGTCAGAACTGGCATCCAGATTCAGCCACAGTTGAAACTGATCAGTTTCAGCAGCGGCTGAGGCCAGTTCCAATTTACATACAGATTCAACTTAAGAACAAACCTACAGTCCCTATCTTGTACGTAACCCAGGGACTGCCTGTACATCTATGTGGATCTAAATTTTAAGTGTAGACCAGGCCTCACACTGCATCTTTGTTTTTTTAGGAAAACAATACATGAGTGATAATTTCTTATAGGCATGTGCATGTAATACTACTACAATGTACTTACTTACACAGTGCCTTGAGGCATAGGTCTCAAAGCTCTTTACAAATGTTGATAAAAATCACTAACCTCAGACAACAGAAGGAAAACCGAGAAAGTTAGCGATTCAAGTTCACACAGTGAATCAATAGCAAAGATGGGATTTCTTACTGAACTATGAGGCTTCCTCAAAAAGATTTTGACAAGCCAGATTTAATAGGTGCAAGAATCAGAATCTGGGCCTGTGTGATTATTAACATGACACCTTATAATTACGTAGTATTGAACTGAGCGCCCCAAACCAAAATGCAACACACAAATACACTAAAAGTGTACAGTTGGAGGATTCTGAGTGTCAGATGTGGAAAAAATGAACAATTTTCTTCATCTTTTAAAAACAAACTGAATACTAATATAAAGCCTTTATTTCCCACAAGATCTTTTAGATATAGACACCAACACTTTTCAAAGTTGATGGTAAGTTTCTACTGTTAATATATAAAATATTTTCTAAGTACATCAAGCATTTCTTCCCTTTCCCTATTTGGCCCAGAATTCTTCCGGATGATACCAGGCAATTCCTCAGCTCTTTATTAAAATGTTACATCATTGTCAGAATAGTCCTCCAATTTTTATTTTTGCCCTAATTTGAGCTTCTGAGTTATCACTAGAGCTGAAAGGTAATCTCCTTTTAATTAAACAATTTCTTCATAACATTTTGACTTCAGATCATATTGTACATATTTTAGTAGTATGCCTTGGAAGTTTAATGAAGCTACTGCCACCTGCTGGCAAACTGGAAAAACCCCACAAATCCATATAGCCAAGAACTTGCAAACAGTTACCTTGCAAACACAGTACCACTCCCACCAGGGAAGGTGTAAGGATGTTGCTTGCGGAATACATGACCCACTCTGCTGCATGGGATAATTTCAAGGCTCCCTCCACACTGCCACACTCTGAATGAAATCTCTGCAATCAGGAATGCATGATAAGTATCCACATAAACGTAAAGTAATTTGGAAATTCTAAACCTTACATTTTTTTCCAGTATATGTGCACTATATCGCACAGGATTAAAAGGAAATATTTAGCTTGCAGAGAACATGCTGAGCTTTTATAGGTATTTGCTTGAAAGAAAAGTACAGATGGCTCTCTGAAAAAGCTAACAAACTGGGTTCAGTGTGTCTCACCACCTCACTTCAGTGGTCTATAAGCTCTGGAGAAGCAGCTATTGGATTTATATTCACATCCATTTGCCTGCCAGCATTTATAAAGTTTTACTGGTGAATTTTACTAGAGGGTTTACACAGCTTTCCGCCTAGAGATTAAAATTCTATAGTGAACTGATGCAAAACAAAAGCAACTAAATTCAAGTATGAACTATGTAGAGTTGTATTCATTGATGAGTTTGAAATGAGTTTGCATAGCTTCAGCAGAGAGCTGGTAAAGGGTAAGCACACAAACAGGTGTCAATATTCGATTTTATAAGTGGCTTAGAAGGATTTCTTCTGACTGTCAGGTCATGGAATTAAAACTGGAACAGCTGGCATAGAAAAGCTAGTGGGTTTTTTTAAAGGCTTGAAATCATCACAAATTCAGTCCAACAAGATAGTATTTGCAGTAAATATTGATTTTATTTTTACAATCAATTTTGAAAGACCTTTCACACACAACCAGTTTACATATCATGCATAGACTCCTTCATTATGCATCACTGTTTGTTCTTTCAATTAACCAAATTACCCCATTAACCACCCCCCACCATCCAAAATACAGGTTTTGCGACACCTTATAGCCCGAGACAGCGGGGAAGCAGAAGGTGAAAGGGTAAAAAGTAGTGGAGAAAGGCAGATAAGGAAAAGTCAATAGGGAGAGTACAAACTGGTTATAGTTTTAACTAACTCCAATGCTAGAATCTGAATAGTCATTTAAACACTGTGATACTGGGGGAGAGTAAAAAACCCAAATCTTATTTCCCTCCCCATAGCCATTACATAAAGCAGGCATAGGGATAGATTTTTATTTAAATTTTACAGTCCCAACTATATACCTCTGAATGGATACACATCTGTGATTTCATCAAAAAGACATAAAACAGTCAGTTTGGTAAAACTACATACAGTATATTCCAATGGCATAATATGTGTATAGCTTTGTTCAACAACAGACTCACTCTTGCTGCTGTAGCATTTCACTAATATAAAAACTATGAAGGAAGCCTTGTTTGCTCACTAAATGGTTAACAAAAATCAAACTGCCCCAAAGAAGAACCTCTAAACCAGAGTTTAGATCCAAATACGCTTCAGGTTGGATCTGACTGGTCCCGGACGAAGTAGTTTGCTAGACCAGAGGAGTTCCTGGTGGGGGTGGGGGTTGTCATCAACCTCCCTGCTGGGCTCCCCTCCCCACCCCAGCCTCCAAGGGCTGCAAGCTGCCCTCATGACCCCACAGCTGTCAGCTCCATGCCTCCTCCCCAACCCCCAGCACTCCTGTCAGCTCCATAGCCCCACTAGCTCTGCCTCCGCCCCAGCTTCCCTGCCCCGCCAGCTATAGGCTCTGGTGTCCCCCTGGCTAGCTCCGCTTTGAGCTGCCAGGGCACACTAGTCCAAAGGTCCCGCCGCCCGCTTCCTCCCCCAGCAGACCAGGGAGACACGGAGCGGCTTTTCTCGCCGCGGAGGACGCGGGCAGCGGGACCCCCCGCGGGCTTCTCGGCGGGCTGCTGGGGGGGGGGGGGGGCGGGTGGGTGG